TCACATAGCTGTTCATACTTACACACACACACACACACACACACCTCACACAAACACACAATATCACATACGTACACAAACACACACACACATACACACACCTCACACAAACACACAATCGCATACACACACACGCACACACAAAAACAAAATATCACACACACACACACACACACGCATACACACACCTCACACAAACACACAAAATCGCATACACACACACTCACTCACACTCTACACACACACATACACTACACATGCACACAGACACACTACACATAGTCTCTCTCTCACACATTAACATTCAACACACACACTCACGCAAACATTCAAAATTATATTACACACACATACACACACGCAAACACACTCGCGCAAACACACACACACACACACACACACACACACACACTCTACACACCACACACAAACACACTACACATGCTCTCTCTCACAAACGCACACACACACATAGATATTTACACTACACACATACAACACACACACTCACACAAACACACACAATCACATTAACACACACACACACACAGACCCGCCGCAGGCCTCAGAGGTAAACAGTGTGCTGGTGTTTATGTGTGCAGCTGATGTTGTGTTGTGTTTGCAGCAGAGCAGTGGGAGGTGAACTGTAGCGCTCGCTCCGCCGGTTCCCACGCTGCACATTTGGCCCAATTACACAACATTAGCAGAGCGCTGCGCTAAGATACCAGCGGACGCTTCACTAGCAGCATGTGGCCACCATGGAGTACTCCACACACACACACACACACACATCAGCACGCAACACATAATAAGAGCGTTTCCTCCCAGAGCATTTACACAGCATTCTGTAGAAGATTATCTTAATGTTTCCATTCATTAACATTATTAGCGTTAGCATATTGCCTGAAGGACCGAGACACCGTGCTCATAAAGGGATGGACATGGTCAGCAGCAATACTCAGGTAGGCTGTGGCGTTGATGCTCAATTGGTACTAATGGACCCAAAGAAAATCCCCCCCCACACCATTACACCACCACCACCAGCCTGAACCGCTGATACAAGGCAGGATGATCCATGCTTTCATGTTGTTGAGGCCAAATTGTGAGCCGAGCATCCGAATGTGTCAGCAGAAATGGAGACTCATCAGAGCAGGCAACGTTTCTCCAATCTTCTATTGTGCAATTTTATCATGCAGCTAGCAGGAGTGGTAAATACTGTTAAGGCTAACGCTAAATGCTTGACGTTTCTGCCAACCCGACTCTACATCATAACTTTTCAATCCAGATGGACGGGGCAACCATTACTGCATCCAAAACAGTGAAAAGCCTTGGAGTAACGATTGATGACCAACTAAATGTCTTCGATCACATCTCTAGAACTGCTCGATCTTGCAGATTCGCACTCTACAACATCAGAAAGGTCCGACTCTTCCTATCTGAACATGCAGCTCAACTCTTGTTCAAGCTCTTGTTCTCTCCAGACTGGACTATTGCGACTCTCTACTAGCCGGGCTTCCAGCTAACTCTATCAAACCTCTTCAGCTGCTCCAGAACGCAGCAGCACGAGTGATCTTTAATGAAGCTAAAAGAGCACATGTCACTCCGCTGCTCATCCGTTTGCACTGGCTGCCAGTTGCTGCTCGCATCAAATTCAGAGCTCTGATGTTTGCCTACAAAGCGACTTCTGGCTTTGCTCCTTCTTATCTGCTCTCACTTCTGCCGATGTATGTGTCCTCCAGAAACTTGCGTTCTGTGAATGAACGTCGCCTCGTGGTTCATCCCAAAGAGGGAAGAAATCACTTTCCCGAACTCTCGCGTTCAATCTGCCCAGTTGGTGGAATGAACTCCCTAACTGCATCAGAACGGCAGAGTCACTCGCTGTCTTCAAGAAACCACTAAAAACTCAACTATTTAGTCTCCACTTCCCTTCCTAATCTGCAATTGCCTCTCTGGCTCCACCGCTAACTGCACTACAGAAAAAATAAATAAAAAATTACTAATGTTTTGCTTCTTACACTTTACACACCTGAAACTCGCCTACAGCACTTCTTCATTGTTGCTCTTATAGTTGTGTAAATTGCTTCCTTGTCCTCATTTGTAAGTCGTTTTGGATAACAGTCTGCTAAATGACTAAATGTAAATGTAATGTAAATATCATATTAACAATAGAAAGGTTATTATCGTTTCTTTAAAACCAATTTTGAATGCAAGAACAATCCCAAGTAAACACACTACAGCAAAGATTAATGGTGGCCTACACAGTCATTCAAAGCTCAAAACAAGAGCCAAACTTTGCCTTGTACTTTGGAAGCACGTCTGAAATGAGAAGCGAAATGAGCTAGATGAGTGTCCAGAGATGGAGACTCGCTCCTGTTTTCCTGCCAGCGTGTGGAAAGGCACACAGGGGGAGGCGGAGGTGATTTCTGAAGCTCTGAGATATGAAGTTAAAGGCTCTGGACTCGGCAGTGTTTGCTCATACCGTGTTTACCCTCTCCGTGTGGAATTCCAGAGCCCCTCGCTCCCGGCCGCGCTGCATTTTTGTGGTTGGCCTGTGTGACATGGGAAAGTGTGGGAAAAACGGAAGCCTGAAAGCAGAAACTCGGGATTGGAAACACTGAAGCGGCAGAAGAGAAACCGGCAGGTGAAGACTCTGGAGGAGTAACGTCATAACACTGAAATATTCCAAGCCGTTCTAGGAATCGGTTTTGGTTTTAGTCAGTTCTCTGGCTGCTTTTTTGTTCATACTTTATTTTAATGTAGAAGTCACGCTATAACAAAGCATTGACTAAGGTACCTTTGGGGTGTTGCATGTTCTCCCCGTGTTGGCGTGGGTTTCCTCCAGCTGCTCCGGTTTCCCCCACAGTCCAAACACATGCGCTGTAGGGGAATTAGCTAAACAAAATTAGCCGAAGTGTATGAGTGTGTGTGTGAATGAGTGTTTATGGGTGTATTCCAGTACTGGGTTGCAGCTGGAAGGGCATCCGCTGTGTAAGACATATGCTGGAATAGTTGGCGGTTCATTCCTCTGTGGCGACCCCTCATGAATAAGTCTACTAAGCTGAAGGAAAATGAATGAATGATTTGCAAGTAGCTAGCATAATGGTAACACAACTAGCATGTAGCCAGCATTATGTTTACACAATTAGAATATAGCTGCTAGCTAACGTGAGTGTTAAATACTCTTAAGACGAATCAACAAATATCAACAAAATATCAACAAAAGAAAATCGATTATTTTCTGATAATAAAGAATATTGTTCACCTAAAAATGATGGACCTTACTTCAATTTTTCACACACCTAAAGCATTATAAACATGTAACAGCAGGAGTTCGCATGACATATGTGCTCTTTAAGTCGTCTGAATCGTCTGCATGAATAAGCGTTTAAATGTCAGTGTGTTGCTCCACATAAATCTGTCTGGATCCTGAATTAGAGCGCATGGATCATATGGACTGTTATGATCTGCTTTGTGGAGCGTGGCAGGATAAATCGCCCCTTTCAGATTCAGACGTTCAGCCGCTGATTTATACCTGCGTTCATCACTGCGAAAACATTAATAAGCTGCTCTGACTGTACTGCGCTCTGACATGAGCCAATGGGAATCAAGATCAGCCCAGCTAATTATCATATAAAAAACTGAAACATTAGGAAGAGAAAATGGCCACACTTCACATGTTTAATGCGATTCTTCTCCTGAAGGCATCTACATGCCGTTATTGAGCCACAGTCATAGCGCCACCTGCTGACAGGAGGAAATTTGGCATTAATCTGTGATTTTTCTCAGGTTTTATACAAATATATCAGCTTAAATTAATATCGTTCACAGTTCTTTGTCATCCTGATGCCACCCGGCGGCGATGAGCCCGGTGCGAGGTCCCTTTCATTGCTGCTTAGGGTTTTAATTTATTTCGGATTGTGAAAGTGAG